GTTCCTCTCTAATAAGGCTGGGAGATGGATTCGAAATGATGGGAAGGGCATTGAGCCCTGTCATTACGTCATGGCTGCATGGCATGGCCAGGCGAAACTCATTTGCGTCTTGGCTATTACTATCAGTACCCTCAGATCTTACACCAACCAATTGGCCATGCAACCGTTCACCAAACGTTCCAACATTTCCACGCTCACGACATAACCGCCCATTAGCTACTAGCTTGTACGCCAATATTGGCTTGATGGCAGTACTGGACATATTCGGACAGCAGGACCACTTCGCCCCGCACCTCTCGCGGAAGTTCGATGGCTACTACACCCGTGCGCAGACCGAAGACGGCGGGACAATCGCGGTCATCTTCTGCAGAGTCGAGAACGCCAAGAAACACGGAAACCTCGTCTTCCTCCTCTACGAGCCTCCTCAAGGCACCCTTCGAGACCCCAGCGGAGCAGCGTCGTCGTCGTCCGTCGCCACTCTCCCCGCGTTCAAGTATCAGTTCTTCCCGAAGCACTTCGACATAGTCATCGAGGAGCCGTCACCTGGCAGACCACAGGCGTTCAGCATCACCGCCCCAGGTCTAGGACGCATGACCGTCAGCGCATCGACGATCGAGTACGACATTCACGTCCCCGAGCTCGACCTCCGCCTGCACCTGGTGCTCACCGCGCATACACCCTGGTCCTCGTCGGGCGGAGGGCGCGGGGACGCACTGAGCGGCCCCATGGGCCCGGCCATCCTCCGCCTCTCGCCCCTCCTCCCGCTCAACTGGCACGTCCGCTCCACGCACAGCGCCGCGTCATACTCGCTCGCGCGCGGGCCCGCCTCGGTGCGCGGCACCGCCGCCCGCGCGCACGCCGAGAAGAACTGGGGCGCGGCCTTCCCCGCGGGCTGGCTCTGGGCGCAGGCGTTCGCCGCGGACGGCGCGCGCACGCTCTGCTTCGCGGGCGGGCAGGCGCTCCCCGGCGTCCCGCTCCAGGCGTACCTCGTCGGGTACCGCTCGCCCCGGCTCGGGCAGTGGGACTTCCGCCCGCCGTTCACGCTCGGGCTGGGCCCGCTGAGCCCGTTCTTGCGCGTGCGGCGCGACAGCCGGCGGGGCGAGGTCGCGCTGAGCGTGGCGACGTGGTTCCGGAAGCTCGTGGTGCGCATCGCGGCGCCGCCGGAGAGCTTTGTGGGCGTGACGGCGCCGCTGAAGGACGGGCACGAGCTGGACTATGCGTACGAGAGCTTCCAGGCTACGGTGCACGTCGAGGCGTACGAGAGGCCCTGGCCGTGGATGGGCTGGGAACTCGTCGAGGAGGCGATTTTGGGGCAGACTGCGGAGGGGGTCGCTTGTGGGGCGCTCGAGTTTGGAGGAGCGTTCTCGCACCTGGTTGGTGGGTAGGAGGCTTCATATGGTGACGGGCACTGGGAGGTCGCCGTCGCGCCGCGGTGGGAACGCAGCCCTGGGGCGAAGACGGGAAGTGGTACTAGGAGGGCTTGAAGGAAGGTATTAGAGCTGTAGAACATATGTATAGAGAAGGCAGCACGTGGTGGGTGGGGTCTACAAGGAACGAGATTAGGCTGGGTCTTGGGAACATCGAGAGCCTGGTGACAAGGTCATCTGGCCCGCCGCTCTCGCCCTCGTCCACTGCACCGCGCCAATACAGTCGAATGCGAACAGGGTCCGGCAGATGCGCCGCCCCACTCCCAGCGATCCGGCGCTGCCCCTATATAACCCTTCCCGCCCGCTCCCACCTCTCTTCCCCACACCCACCGTCTGCTCGTAGACCCCGTCTTACCCTCTAGACAGTTTTGCGTTAGACCCGCTCTTCATACACCGGCACAATGGCTGAGGTCGCCCCCGTCACCATCGAGATCAACGACGCCTACTTCTGCCAACACCTCAAGGAGGTCGTGAGTACACCTGCGCTTGCGTCGTGCAACGACAGCCGCTGAGCACAGCGCCCCTGTGCAGTGCGCCGAATGCTCCTACGACGGGCGGGAAGAGAACGACACCTTCTTCGGGGTGCGCCCCATCGTCCTGGCCTCCCGCGTATGTGCGCTTACCTTGACCGTATTGCGTCTGTCCAGTTCGACCCCATCGCCCGTGAAGGCATCGAGGCACCCGCGTCCTCCCAGAACAAGGAGGGCCAGTACCAGTGCAAGAAGCACGGCTCGGCTGGTGCGTTGCCCGAGGGTCATGGGTGCCAGGATGTCGTGTGAGCACAGACTGACCTGATGTCGCGCATACAGCCTGCAGCCAGTGCTACGGCTGGAAGAAGCAGATCTCGCGCGCCCGTGTGGCGGCGAAGAAGGCCGGCAAGAAGTCCTCATAGGTCGTCAGTGGCCTCAGCCTGCGGAAGCAGCGAGCAGCGATTGCGAGAGCGGATAGGAGGAAACGAACTGAACTGTTGTATGATACGGTTGCGCTCATCTGTGTACGATGCAAGGATGTATATGAGGATACCAAGGAGAATAGCAGCACCGTCCTGGTCTAGGACCAGGATGATTCCATGAAGCAGGATGGACGGTTCCTTCATCCAAAGTCTGAGCGTATCCTGGCAACGCGGCTCATACGGGGCTTATTATGCCACGATGAGCTCGATATGGTGCAAGCAGAGTGTGTTCCGGGAGAGCGGAGACTTGCGAGACCTGTCGGCCTAGTTGGGTACCGTGTGTGTTCCCGGGACAAGATCCACGAGCTCCGAAGTCTCAGCCAGACCAGCACGAACAAGATCAGAGTATCATCCCGGACAGCGTACGCCGTCGCCAAGTCGCATGCGCCTCTGTCGAACGCCAGATGACCACACACAAGCTCGCACGGCACACGTAAAAGACGCGACGATGAGCCAATGCGGGGTGCGCAGATGTAATGGGGACTGCAGGGCGGCGGGCAGGATCCGGACGAGCGAAGGCGCGTAGGGCGTCGATTTGGCGGCTTGGGCAGGCGTGGGCACGGCGAGCACATGGCGCTCGACGAGGAGGAGGGCGTCGACCGCGCTCGGGAGCGAGACGAGTGGTGGCGATTGGTCAGCCGCACGCCAACTTGCTCGCGATCTCGTCATGCTGCCGCCACCGTTTCCTGCGCTCGTCCTCCCGAGGTCCTTCCCGCCCTGCTATATAACATCGGGGCTCGAGGCGCCGCTGCTGTACACTTCCTCCCCTCCCCCTACCTGCCACGTCTAGTATCATCGCTCCCATACAAGCGCGATGACACCCGCGATTTTGAACGGATCGGCATCCACCTCGAACGGCCATCTCAACGGCACCTCCAGAAAGCCCTCGCTGGACGGGTTCGGCACCCGCGCCATTCACGCGGGCTCGGAGGCCAACGAGGAGACGGGCGCGGTCATCCCACCCATCTCGCTCAGCACGACGTACAAGCAACACGGGATCGGGAACCACAAGGTCCGTAGCTTTAAAAAAAAAATGCGCGGCACCATGGCGGTGGCTGACGCGCGCGGTGAACAGGGTTTCGAGTATTCGAGATCCGGGAACCCGAACCGCAACGCTTTCGAGACGACGCTCGCGGCACTCGAGTCTGGCGGCGCACACGGGCTTGCGTTCGCGTCCGGCTCCGCGACGACCGCGACGGTGCTCCAGTCGCTCGGGCCCAACGCGCACATCATCAGCGTCAACGATGTGTATGGCGGCACGTTCCGTTACATGAAGCGCGTCGCGACGGAGAATCAGGGACTGGAGACCACCTTCGTCGACCTCGAGAACGCGGACGACGATACCATCCGCGCTGCGTTTCGACCAAACACCAAGGTGCGCTCCGTTTCCGCCCCGGCGCCCATTCCGCCGCACTGACCTCCGTCCCTCAGCTTATCTGGATAGAGTCGCCCACAAACCCCACCCTCCGGCTCGTCGACATCCCGCGCATCGTCGCCCTTGCCCGCGCCGCGCCCTCGGACCCGATCGTGCTCGTCGACAACACCTTCCTCTCCCCATTCTACGCGTCCCCGCTCCTTCAGGGCGCGGACGTGGTCATGCACTCGCTCACAAAGTACGTGAACGGGCACTCGGACGTCGTGATGGGCGCGCTCGTGCTCCCCGCGCGCCGCGCCGCGCTCGCGGACAAGCTCCGCTTCCTCCAGAACGCGATCGGCGCCGTCCCGAGCGCGTACGACTGCTGGCTCGCGCAGCGCGGCGCGAAGACGCTGCACCTGCGCATGAAGGCGCACGGCGCGAACGCGCTCGCGGTCGCACGCGCCCTCGCGCGCTCGCCGCACGTCGCGGAGGTGATCTACCCCGGGCTCGCGGGCCACCCGCGCAACGACCTCGCGTACCGCTCGCTCTCGCCGCACGCGCGCGTGTTCGTGGACCGGTACGTGCGCGAGCACGGGGACGCGGCGGGCGGGTTCCCGTACGGCGGCATGATCTCGTTCCGCATCCGCGGCGGGCGCGCGGAGGCGGAGACGTTCTTGACGTCGACCAGGCTGTTCACCCTCGCGGAGAGTCTGGGGGGCGTGGAGAGCCTGGCGGAACACCCGGCGCAGATGACGCACGGGAGCATCCCGCCAGAAGAGCGCGCGCTGCTCGGCATCGGCGATAACCTCGTCAGGCTCTCGGTGGGTGTGGAGGACGAGGAGGACTTGATTGCGGACGTCGAGCAGGCGTTGGAGGCGGCAGCGGCGCTCTCGAAGACCTCCGCATAGAAGACCCGCGGCAGCACATTCAAAGTGCAGGGCTTGCTGTTCACCTTGCACTCTTGTAGAGCGGATAGCATAAATATGCTGTACAGATACTACGTGTACGATTGATTTATAGAGCACAAGTCTTGGATATCCAAACACTGCTCTATCCCCCCCCCTATGGCGGAGCATATGTGTGTGGTGGCGGCATGAAACTACGAGTGTGCTGAATGTCACACACCTCGACATATTTGCGACGCGGACCTGCGCGGAAATAGTGTATTCCTGGAGTCGAGAAGCGGCATCGATACAAAAGGTACAGCCGGTCGACATTTTCCTGTAGCATATTCAGCGCAGCAAGGAGAGGCCAGCAAAAGACATGTCCCAGGGAGGATTCGAGCCTCCGTCTTCACGGATCTGCGGGGTGCCACAACGTGATGATCTAACCACTAATCGACAAGGACCGGAAGTAGTTGCCCTTTGTAGTCTTCTCGTCATGTTGTGCACGGATAGCAGACCTGGTGAGCGGTGATGCAGACCATACTACGGAATTGACATCAATCAGCACTTGTACAACGCAGTCGTATCGTTTGCAGAAAGGGCCGTCTGGATTGTATGTTGCCTTGTACACTTACGTAGCATCGGACAAATTCTGCTGATGCTCAAACATGGTTCTTGGTCAGTTTAGGCACCACGCCACGAAGGAAGCTCTAGACATGTTGGCTTTACGTTAAAGGGGAGACGAGAGGGCACAATGAACTCATCAGGATCGGCTGTCATGATGGTCATTGGCAGGGCAGGCTTGGTAAGCTACACAGGCTTGAAGAGGGAGCAAGTTCAAGCTTGGGCGCGGCCTCGCCAAGCGCAGACAGAGAGCATCATACTCGCGGCGGAAAGAGTTACTGCTTAAGGAGACGCACGCGGCTATCCAGAGCCCGGCCGAAGATGCGCGAGCACTTGCAGAGGCCATGTGAGAGGGTGAGCACGGCGCGCGAGGATTCGCGAAAGCTAATTACCAATCGACATGAGGGATCGAGCGCGAGGGAGCTGGGTGCGCCGTGGCGAGAGCGCGCGAGGAGGCAACGGACTGGAGCAGGGCGAGGGGCGCTGGGGAATGTTCACGCGCGGCCGTCGAGAGAACGCGAGGACGGATTTGGGTCGACGCGCGGGAGGGGACGAGAGAATCCTGCCAGATATGGAAGGATACGGTCCGAGCCTGGTCCAAGATCGCTCGTCGGGAATGACGACAGACCGCACGACGGAAGCGTCCGGCCAGGCCCTGCCCTGCTAGGAGCTCGCGGTCGGGGCGCGCGAGCTTGCCTGGCCGAAGCGCTTGGGTGCGAGAGGGGGAGGGGAGACGATGACGGCGGGGGTGTGCGGTATTGCGTGCGCAGGGGTCGAGGAGGCGTAGGTGGCTGGAGGAGAGAATGCGGAAGAACGGACTTGGAGCTAATCGAGGGCAGAACCTCTCACGACGTTTCTGACAGTGTCCCTTGGCTAGACGCTCAATCGATGTATAAAACCCACCTCGTCCGTGCCCTCCTCATCCTCCACCACTCACCACTATCTTGAATGTGCTTCCCCGGAAAGCGCCTCAAGAAAAACCACTCCGACGACCCAGAACCCTCCGTCAAGGCCCCTGCCGCCGCCGCTGCATCTGCTGCCACCGCGCCCGCACCCACCCCCGCACCTGCACAAGAACCCACTCCCGCACCCGTTGTCCAAACCACCCCAGAGACCGCCATGTCCTCCCCTAAAGTCGCCATCATCATCTACTCCCTCTACGGCCACATTGCCAAGTGTATGTGCAACGCGCCACCCCTGCTCCGTTGATACTCACCGGTGCATATATCTATGCAGTGGCTGAGGGCGTGAAGGCCGGTATCACGGCCGCCGGAGGCTCGGCGACAATCTACCAGTGCGTCCGCTGCCCTCGCTTCCGTCTTCCCATGCTCACCCTCGCACCCGTCACCCAGGATCGCGGAGACGCTCCCGGAGGACATCCTTCAGAAGATGCACGCGCCGCCCAAGCCTGCGTACCCCATCCTTGCGCCGACCGACCTGCCCCAGTTCGACGCGTTCATCCTCGGCATCCCCACCCGTTACGGAAACTTTCCCGCGCAGTGGAAGGCGTTCTGGGACGCCACCGGCGGCCTCTGGGGTCAGGGCGCGCTCGTCGGCAAGTACGTCTCCGCGTTCGTGTCGACCGCGTCCCCCGGAGGTGGCCAGGAGTCGACCGTCCTCGCGGCGCTTTCGACCTTCGTACACCACGGCTTGATTTTCGTCCCCCTCGGATACTCCAAGGCGTTCCCTCAGCTCACGAACGTGTCCGAGGTCCGCGGTGGTGAGCACATCTATTCTCGCTCGAATTACGCACACGTGGACGAGTGCAGAAAGGCGCATATATGCGCCCTTCTGGCCCCCCGGTCGCAGGTGTTCTCCGAATTCGATGCTGATAGTACCTGCACAGGCTCTCCCTGGGGCGCGGGGACCTTCGCCGCGGGCGACGGTTCGCGCCAGCCCTCTGCGCTCGAGCTCGAGATTGCGGAGATCCAGGGCAAGCACTTCTGGGAGACCGTCAGCAAGGTCAAGTTCTGATTATACGTACTGTTGCACGACGAGTGGACGATACACGCCATGATTCCGCAGTAGAGACAACCGAATGTATGATACCGAAAGCTCGAAATTCCCCTGGCGCCGGCTTGCACGTCTCTTGTTCCCGCGTACGATACGCCCCGGCCATATCGGTCACTGAATTCGGAGGGTGTATGTCCCCGCACTTCTCGAGCCCTTCGCATTCCATCAGTATGTCATTGCCAATGTTGCGGGTCCTATGGAAGGTCAGGAACGGTGCGCATGCCTAACACAATGGTGCTCGCCTCGGTTCCTATGCCTATCTCGTCGGCATCACTGATAGAACGCGGTCAGCTAGGCGCGTTTGAGGCCATGTGCGAGTACAAGAAAGGGTGAAGACCGGAGCCACGTTAATAGCGGCTGTATGGCTGGGAGTGCTTAGCGTGGACCGTGGCCGGGGGAGCGGTGCTTCGAAGCGGGTCCTGTCGCGCTTGCTCACCTAGTACGTACCTGCGGGTTATTTTCGTGCCGCAGTCGAGGGGGCTATTCTGAACTGGCCGCGAAGACGGACCGCCCGAGAGTACTGGAAAGTCCCAGATATGGCGTGGGCGGCCCACGTGCCAAACGTGTGTGGTTGTGTGCCTTTCGGCGAGAGACCTCTGATCGGCGGTAGAGTGCGTTCTCTACTGGACCTGTGGCGGCATCCACGTCGGGACATACCGCGAGGGCTGCGTGTGATGCAGCTTGAAGTCGTATATTTGTAGGGCCATTGATGTTGCATACTTTGAAGGCATGGGACGCGATGGGTGTGCTGGAGAAGCTCCAGGGGGGGGAAGTGTAAGTCCGCACCTGAACTTCATTTCAACGAGTACTGTTGCATCCCTCGCGTACAGAGATTTCACTGCAAAGTCTCGACAGAGAGGGAACAGTTGAAAACGTATAGCGGAAGTCACTGGTCATGGTATAAGCGGAAGGGGAAGGGGCAAGTCCACCGTGTTGAGCGACAGCAGCGGAATAGACGCTCTACACCACCTTCACGTGCACGACGCGTCGCGCGTCGGCATCAATGTTCTGTTGTGGCGGGTGCGCGCCACTGCAGCGCCATGGTGGCGTCAAGCACCTTCACCTCCAGGCTCCCACTTACAGTCGTCCGCGGTTGCTGCAGATATCGATCGTCACTGGGATCGCGCTCCGACAATCGACGTGCCAGGTCAACGATATCTCACACCTCCCAAACAGCGTACGTGGAAGGTGGCAGCGGAAGACGTGGGCCGGCACCGGCGTCAGCCTCAGGAATGTTACTGCTCATGTCGCCGCGAAGTAATCCGAACGGGCCGGATTCGGGTCCAGAAGTAGAGAACAATAAGCTAGAAGACCCGTTTGTACCACCATGAGGCTGGCCGGGAAGTTGCGGCGGGGCGGAGTACGAACTGCGGAAGGTATATAATGTATGACGGACAGCCTCCGTCTCCGGGTCGCTCCTTGTCTTCTCCCACATCTTCGCTCACCTTGCTCCGTCACCCCAGATCCCCCTCCTCGCCCATGGAAGTCTCCTACGCCACTGTGCAACTTCGCGTTGACTAACGACATGAAGAACTGCTGCCGGAACACGACCATGACCTTCATACATCACAACACCGCATCAAGTTCAAGCCGTACCATAGGTCCTGCGCCACCCGCGTATATCTCCCGAGCGACGGTGTCATCACCGTATGTCTTCAATACAAATCTTTGTGGGCCTGACTATGCAGAGTGGTGTAGTCACCACTGCAACCTATGGCCGCCCACGAATGGGGGTTACCCTTCCCCCTCCTTCGCGTCGGCGACAGACGCCACTGAAAGAAAGTGAACGTTCGCGGCCACGGTCAGCATCTTTGCTTCTGTGCCTGCAACCCACAACATCGCTTCAAGTCAAATCTTGTGGCAACATCTTGGCCATACAAAAACCATCGATATTGCGGAATACGCTGGCCCCAAAGACCCAGGGACATCACTACACCGCGATGGGACGTCGTACTTCAGATTCCAGCGCTGCCCGGTACCTAGCAATTGCCTCCTCATCGTTGTTGGACGCGAATCAGGCGCCTCCAAGGAATAGGCTGCCCATGAGACCTCGGCAACTATACATATCAAAGATGCCATAAGGGCTACTGGGAGCCCTGGAGCAACCTGGATGGTGCACATCGAAGGTAGTGCACTGCTTCAACTGAGGGCGACCGTCAGTAGGCTGTCGCCTCTGTACCGTCAATGCCCCATGGCCTGAATGCAGATGAAGGCATGTCTTGTCGGCGCAAAGAAACGTGGGCACCGAACATGTACGCCATCAACGGAGAGACCAAAGGACCAACAACTCCGGCAGTTTTCCTACGGCCACAAGGCAGAAATACCATGTGGCGACTAAGATAGCATCATGGGATGAGGGGACAGAGCTTCTCTGAGGCCACACAGTCGAAATGTGCTCTTAACCCATCAAAATGTCAAGACATTCTGAATGCCATATGTCAAGCATGGATGCCAGGGTGTGCATAAGACCCTGGCTCGGCGGAACACTGCTCAACCCGGAGATAGTTCAAATTGATCAGGGAAGGTCTTGACGTCATATTTCGACGGCAGCGTCGAAGCAAATACCACAGAGCAATCTCCCTACTTCCAGCACTCAGGTTAAATATGCTCGAGAGGCATCCGGAGGAGCTGTTACCCAACCAATGTCACCAGCACTAGGAATTTGACCACAAGTCGGAACGGTACTCTAGGTGTGGGCCCGGTATGTTGATGTCATCTTTGGCCTTCATTTACTTCACTATACTAGTGTAGAGAACATCGAACTCCACTGCACGGCACCGCCAGATACCTGTATATGACACATCACAGTCAAAAATTGGATGTTATA